TAAAAGCCTGAAAGTGTGCCTGAGGACTTGCGAGATTTTGTGGCCAGAAGTGCACTTTCACCTGCCCACTTCTCCTCAAACAGTCCCGGTGTGGGAGAGGGTATGGGGGCACCAGTTATCCTCCTGGATGTTAGACACAGTCCCAAGCTTTTCTCTAATCCTAAAATGCTCTTGAAAAGCCCTTTCCTTCCTTTCTGGCCCTGGAGATTCAACCCCTTTCCTTGTCCTGAAAACTGGCCCTGTCCTTTTCTGCACTCATCTTGCAGCCCTGGCAGTGGAGGAGCGTGAAGGCTTTCGACTCTTTGTTTCTGCACATGAAATAAGTGTTTTTTGTTCTACCATTTTAAGGCTCTCATTCCAGAGATCCAGATGAAGTATCAAAAATAACTTACACACTAATAGCTATAATGCCGTCGTGTTGGCATAGCTTAGGTTGGGACTCTGCTTCATGGGACTTTCTCAGAGATCCTTTTCCCATGTAGTTTTCACGGGTTCTGTTTCCCACTACCAGAGCTTCACCCCACCTCCTGACAGCACCGGTTTCCAGTGACCAGGAAAAGTAAATGATCTGAATTGATTCAGGACACTGAAGCAGCCATGATAGTACAACTAAAGACACAAAAGAGAACTGCCTCAGAAAGTGGCACAAAGGATATGGGATAAGGACAATGGGGAATATTTTAAGGGGATTGAAGGGCAATATATCTTTAATTGTAATAAATTTTTAAAAATTTAAACATTCACTATATCTTTCCATCATACCACATATTAGAAAAGAGAAGTTGTTGCAGTGGATATTGTTTTCCAGAGATAAGGAAGCATAAAATATGAGAAAGGCAGCGTAGTGCATGCCGGGGCAACTAGAGTATGCCAAGGGATACAGGCCTGGGCATGTCTGAAAAGCCACTGGCTTCTGGCCCTGGTCTCTTAAACTGGAGTTTATATCTAGTTTTCCTGATTTGGTTTCAGTATTCCTTTCATTCTTCCTCTCGGGGCCCCACCCTCCTGGGGACTCAGACTTTGGAGCAAAGTGGAACTTTCCTTTTATTTAAAATTTTTAAAAAATTTCTTTTTACTTTTATTTAAAATTTTTTTAAAATTTCTTTTTTCTTTAACAAGAAAAATGTTAAATAACAACTTTTTTTTTGAGACATAAAAGATATTTAGCCCATCTGCTTTTAAAACAGAATGAAGGATAGGAATGCTAAGTAGTTGTGGTGGCATATGCTGGTAATCCCTTGGAAGTCTGAGACAGAGGACGGGTCATGAGTTTGAGGCCAGTCTGGCAACTTAGTGAAATGCTGTCTCCAAATCGATAAATCAATAAATAAATCAGTGGAAGAATGTGGCTCAGCAGCAGAGCAGTTAATGTGAGACCTTGGGTCCAATCCCTAGTACCTCGGGGAGAACAGGAAGCATGAGCTTTCCTTAAAGCTTTTATACAATAAAGGAAAGGCATGGGCAGAGAAGAGAAAGAGATGTTATCAAGAAAGGAAAACAAGAAGGAAGACATCAAGAGAACAGATGAGGGAAGGATAAAGAAACTGTAGAAGAGTGCATGGTGGAGTGTTGGGGGTGGGCAGCAGGGGGGTTAGAGGCAGACAGGCCAAAGTTACAGTGTACTGGAGATCTTGATTCTAAATCTACAAAACCCCACCTCAATATTGTTAGTGGTGAAGTGCAAGAATGGTCCTCTTGAGATCAGGAGCATGCCTAGGATGGCTCCTATCACTACTTCTGTCAACATCACACTGGAGATTTAGCTAGTGAAGATTGGAAGAGCAAAAAAAGAAGGAAGACTTACTATTCATATTTGATCTGTGTGCACAGAAAAATCTCAAAGGAAATTCCAAAGCAATTCCATTTAGCAAGGTCTCTGGACACAATGCCAGTATACAAAAATCATTTGTGTTTCTGCATATAATCACAAATAAAGAGAAACAGAAATATATCAAATGATTTTTTTTTATCTGTACCAGGGATCGAACTCTCGACCATGTGCTTGCAAGGCAGGCGCTTATGCCACTGAACTAAATTCCCAACCCATAAAATGATGTTTTACAAAAATATATAAAAAAAACCCTTTCTGTGATTTACTACCTCATTTTTCTTTTTTTTTTTAAATTTCATTTTTCTTAAGTGTAAAATTAGGGCTACAGTTATAATAATAAAAATAATTGTGACAGTAAAAGCAGCTGGAGTTTATTGAATATGTATAGTATCCCAGAAAATATTCTAAATGTTTACATGGATTCTTTCTTTTAACCTTCACAACAACCCTTTAATGGTTATTATGAGGATTAAATGAGGTAAAATATGTAAAACACTTAGCAAATTGCCTTGTGTATAGTAAATTCTCAATAAATTTTAGCTATATAAAATGATGATTATTTTAGGAAAACTCATAGACTCAACTGTTAGTAGAACTAAGCTGCTGTTCATTTGGCATAAGATTTGCAGAATAAACAGTCATGTAGTATTGTTTTGAAATTTTAAGTAGCTCATTAACTCACTCATTCATTCAGGCATTGCTCTCAGGTCTAAGAATACAGTGGGTAAACATAACAGACAAAATCTATGCCCTGATGGAGTTTACAGTTTCATAGGGGAAGCAGAAATTAATCAAATGTCATCACAAACTGTGCTATGAGACTCTAAGTACAAAGACAAGGCATTATGGGAGCCATAAAGCATTCTGGGAGGACTGGCATGTACTACAGAGTGAAAGAAGGCTTTGTTGCCAAATGGCAGTGGAGCCAAGTTCTGAAGGATAAGTGGACCTGGGGGCAAGGGGAGGACATTGTTCCTCACACAGCAAGCCCTCTGTTTGGAGGGCAGGGGAATTGTGAGAGGAGGGGGAGCCCGGCATGCTGCAGGAGCTGAGGGGAGTGTGTGAGGACTGGAGCTCAGAGAACTGGGAGAGAGTTGTCATAGGAGCTGTGGCTGCAGAGATGCACAGGCTGCAGATCATTAAGGACTTGAGACCCTGCTCAGCATTTTGGCACTCATCTTAAGGGACTACAGTACACTGCAGGGTTTTATGAACAGGAAGGATGTGATCAGATGTGTTTTAAATATTTCTGCACCGAGGGGGCCACTCCTGTTGTCCAGGAAGATACAAAAGTAGGTTAGGTGAGGGCACTGTCAGCACAGAGATTAGTGGGTATATCTAACAGATGTGTATGGAAGAAATGATGGGGCCTGACATTAGCTTTGGTAAGCGAGGGGAGTGCCCCACTAACTCCTCCTCCCTAGGATATGACCTGCAGAGCTGAGGGCCTAGGAGTGACATTTACTGAGGCAAGGACAGTCTTTCTTCACCACGAAATAGCTTTGTTAACTTGTTGAAACTTGAGAATGTATTTTAAGTGTTTGTTGTCCTGAAGAAACCTGAATGTCTTATACATCAGGAAAGGAATGACAGATTTGGGACACTGATTCGGGGAACCTAGATATGCTTACTCCTAGTTTTCTCTTTGATCTAAAAATAGTTGAGTTATATGTTTAGGCTTTTTTTAAAGAACAGAGTTGGCAAATTTATAAATTCACAAGAGTTACATTTCAATGCTGGGCTTGGTGTCATATGGCTATAATCCCAACTACTCAGGAGGCTGAGGCAGGAGGGTCACAAGTTTGAGCATAGTCTGGGTAACTTAACAAGAATTAAACAACGAAATAAAACATTAGAACTGCTGACAATCTACTGCCCTTACCTCTGTCGTGTTTTTTTAGGGATAAAAAATTGAGTAGATTCAGTGCTGAAATCTATGCCTTCATTTCATTAACTTTTTAAATCCTTTGTATGTCACCAAGTAGATATATATGAGAAAAAGAATTTTTGGAATTGGAACATTATCACCTCATTCAGTGATTATATAGACTGAGTCATGTTAAGAGCTGCTTCGAACTTCTCTGGTTTGGAATGTCTTTGGCTAGAAAAGACACATAGCTGTATTGTTTAAGGCCTAATCAAATACTAGTGGTGACTGGAATTTATGAACAAATCTATAAGAGGTCCTGTAGTTCATCCACTTTCTCCTGGCCTAGTTGAAACTCTCTGAGTCTTGATATCCCCCCAAGATGAAGCCCTGAGGAAGATCAGTTTGAGTCTTATTAACCACCTGCCTCTTTTATGTAGGAAAAGATTCCTTGAAATGAATAGAAATTACAGTGGTACCTTGGTTTGTGAACTTCTTTTTACAATTCTGTCACAAACTGAGTGGATGATGTTATGGTTTGTGTCTGGAGGTACCTCCAAAGCCTCATGTGGTCATAATGAGGGAGGGGGTTCTTTTCCCAAGGCAGCTGAATCTAGAGCTTGTGATTGGTTCATTGTCTAGTGCTGGGATTGGCAATATAAGTACTACACCTAGGGTAGGTACCCTGCATACAATATGAGAGAGAAAAAGAGGTTTGGTTCTGCCTTTTGCTCCTGTTGCTTGTGGTATCTTTCATCACCATGAACTTTTGCCCCTCTGCAATGCCAAGGAGCCAGCCAATTGTGGACTGAAACCTCTCCAGACTGTGAGCTATATAAACCTTTCTTCTCACAATTTTGGGTGTCAGGCATTTTGTCTCAGCAATGTGAGAAAAATAACTAAGACAGATAAGAACTAAATCAAAGTCTTACTGCTCAACTCTGTTAAGGATGCGACAGGAGGCATGAAATATGGCTGATGGTGTGTGTACACCTCAGGTCAAGTGGTAGACTCTCCCTTCCTTTCTCTAGTAAACACAAACATGTACACATGTACACATGCACATATGCACACACATCAGTGTCCTCAGCCTGTGTCTTCCACTCTGGCATATTGTGACACAGCCTCCTTGGTGTCAGGAATTGGAAGAAGACTTCATATGTTGCCTGAATTCCCAATAGCAAGTAGACTCAGAAGCCAGAGGGGAATATGAGTATGAAAGTTCTTATGGGTGGGTCTCCCCTCTTCCTCCCACCATCCCCAGCTAACAGCCGGTTTTTACTCTTGTCTCTGCTTTTATAGCATTCAACCTCAGTGAGCATCATGGGCTTTTCCAACTCTGTGGAGATGGAGTTGTCATCTGCCAGGCTGGCGAGGGCCCTAGAGCCACAGATCCAGAGTGTGAGCAGTCTGACGGCTGGTGGTCAGCAGGCAGTACCGAATCTGCTGAGTGGCCCTCCACCTACTGTGTCCAGCATGACGAGTGTTCAAACTCACACTATGCCCAGCATGTCCACCAGTCATCTACAGGCCATGCCAGGCCTTGTACGTGGCACATTCCAGTCCACGCCCAACCTGATGAGTGATTCCCCTAAAGCCATCACAGCCTTAGCCAGTGATCCCTCTCAGGCTGGGCCCAGCCTAATATCTGGTCACATGCAGGCTGTGCCAAGTCTGGTGACTTGTCCTCTGCAGTGCATGCCCCCAGTTTCTGACACGCAGCTGGAAACTGGGTCCAGTTCTAGTCCTGGCTGTAGCAGAACTACAGAGAACCTTTGCCACAAGGATGTGACTGATCCCTCCCTGGAGAATTCCCTATGTAAGGTAAGTCTTGGGAAAATGTCAGCTTCCCGTGTCATTGAGGAAAAGGTTGATTGCTGAAGGACTCATCCTGGCCTTGGTTTAATAGTTCTGAGATCACTGATTGCAAAAATGTTTGATTTCTTTGATTCTTATTCATCTTTTACTTTTGAAAGATGGAAAGTGAAGATTCCACTCGCTTCACTGACCCAGTGGAGCAAGGCCCTACTGCCCCTGGTCTGGATGCTCCCAAGGATTTGGCTATTTCCTCTGAACTAGAAGAGCCAATTAACCTCTCTGTGAAAAAACCTCCACTGGCACCAGTGGTCAGCACACCTACAGCTCTGCAGCAGTATCAGAACCCAAAAGGTGAGATATGAATAAGCAACTTATCTCTTGTGTTGACCAGACTTGAGCAAGTGGACTCAGCACTTACAGGTGGGATAAGAGGCCGGCAGACAGGTTCGAGTCTGATATTGGAGTTGGGTAGATCTAAGTTAGGTCCCCAATTTGGTATTTTTATTTGACTCAAAGTGAAATAACTTCCTTGAGATGATTTCTTTCTATGTAACTAAGGCTAGTTAGACTAACTTGAAAGGCTACTAGGACAAATAACTAGTTAAATCACTTGATGCCTTACTTTGTAGTGGCAAGAACTGTCCGTGTATCCACACAAATACTGTTAATTTGTGTTGTGCTTCATGGTAAATGGAATTTAGAGCTTTGGGATATGGCTCTGATTTTCTTCTCAGCTACCCATAACCATTCTCAATCCAAGCTAGGCTAAAGTGTTTCTTCTGTGGGAAGTGGGGACCAATTGGGAGGTTAGAAGTTGGATAATTACTGATTTTTAAAGACTTCTTTAGCTCACTGTTTGATGCATGCTTAATTTGTAATCATCAGCCTAATTTGTATACATTTAATAAATGAGTACAAAAGAAACAATTTTTCTTTTTTTCTTTCACATTGACTGAGGAACCACTGTAATATTAATAGTTTTTATTACACACAATAATATAATTCTGTTTTTTTATGCAATTAAGTTACATTTTTTGGATTCTGACCATATAGAATGCTAGGAAAGTGCTCAGGACCATGCAGGGGGCATGCAGAATAAATGCTAGTTCCTCCTTTTCCCCCCACTACTGCTCTCTGCCCATCGTTGTAGACTGTGCTGTGCACAGGAGGCCTCCCTGGAGCCCTGGTCCATGGAGTAGCAGCTGGATTCTTAGGCAGTGCTGGAATCCCAGTACTTGGCTGAAAAGTCTGAGCCTGCGTAGAATGACTTCTCAGAGCAGACAGCACCAGCATATGGAGAACAAGTGATTTCTGAGCCCATTTTGAAGATGACAAACTGGCTCCTCAGTGCCTGACCTAACACTCACCTCTGAGCAGCCTTTGAGCATTATCTGTGCTCATATTTTATAAAAAGGTGGCCCTCCTCCTCTCTCAGGAAGGAGACATGTGATAGAATTGTCACCACTATGAATGATTCCAGTGTTGATAAGAATTGATGGATGTATGGCCAAAGGTATGAAGAACAGATATGAGTGGAAGGTGTGGGTGACCAAGTATGTTGTCACAAATGCCTGTCACAGGAATTTATTTGGTTTTTGCTTCAGAGTATGAAAATTTTGATCAAGAGGTCCTGGAACTGGATGCAAAGGAAAACCAGAGCATCAGGTAAGAGACTTGGCAACCTTTGATTCTCATCCCTAATTTCATGCCCTGTGAGATTGGCACCAGAAGTAAGCATCCTTGAGTCTTCACCAGAATCTCTTTTCTGAATTTCTTTTAAGCTTGTAGTTTAGAAACTTTCTCCCAGGGCAGGGGTAGGGACCTAACTAGAAGCAGAACTTTGCTCATACCTGTCTTCTTTAGCCCCAGACCTTCTAAAGGGTCATTACTCCTGCATGATGAAGCTTTGTGTGCAGTGTCCACACTTCAAGAGGCCCCCTCTTCTATCAGGGCCTGCACCAGAGAGCCTGGTAGTATCTGACAGGATCTGGCCAGGCACAGCTGTGAAGAGGCAGATCATGGACCTCTATAGGGTCAAATCAAGGAGATCTTGAGTAGTTATCCAATTATAGGATCCTAAATGAGCCTTATTTAGAGGTGGAGCCACAGGAGGCTTCCCTGAGACCCAGATTATCTCTCTTATCACAGGCCCTTCAATAGTGAGTCCAGGATCCCCTATGTGCGATTGGAACGACTCAAGATCTGTGCTGCCTCCTCGGGAGAGATGCCTGTCTTTAAGCTGAAGCCCCAGAAGAACGATCAGGATGGGAGCTTCTTGCTGGTCATTGAGTGTGGTACTGAGTCTTCCAGCATGACCATTAAGGTACCTCTTTGCTTGGCCTTGGCCTTGAATTTTGGGCCAGCTGAGGAAATTTTCTCATCTCTCTACTACTGACAGAATCTTCACTTTAGGGCCTATCCTGAGTGAGTGGAGTTATAGTGTGACTAGACTTTGTCCTCATTGCAAGGGGCCTATGGGATGCTCAGTATGGGTGGGCTATGCCAGGTGGGAGTTGGCTGGCTTGAGATCCTGGATAAATGTGTCTCATAGTAAGTGCTCAGGGCCTGCCACTCCCCAATCAAACAGCCCTCAACCACTTGTCACTACTGTGCCATGATTGCTCAGACCTACCTCTTCTCTTAGGTCAGCCAAGATAACCTGCCTGATGCCATCCAGGCCCCGGGTCTGGGGGGAAGAAAGGTCACTGTCACTTCTCTGGCTGGGCAGCGGCCACCAGAGGTGGAAGGCACATCTCCTGAAGAACACAAACTCATTCCACGAACTCCTGGAGCCAAGAAAGGTCCCCCCGTCCCAATAGAGAATGAGGACTTCTGTGCTGTGTGCCTCAATGGCGGGGAGCTGCTGTGCTGCGATCGCTGCCCCAAAGTGTTCCACCTCTCCTGCCATGTGCCAGCCCTGCTCAGCTTTCCAGGGTGAGGCATGCCCATGCAAGGTGGTCATTTGGCTGGAAGGGTTGTATTAGTATTTCAAGCCATGCCCATGGAGCCAGGGTGGGTTTACTCCCCTCTTCTGGGCCTGCATGAAGCATAGACATATGAGGGACAGGGCCCCAAAGCTGTGTGCCTTCTGCACACAGGCAGTGCATGTTGGACATTTGGTTGGCTCCCCTTTTTTCTCTGTCCTCAGCTTCTTCCTGCATAAAAATTTGTCCCAATACCTCTGCTTTAGGTTTTCCCTACCTGCTATTTTTTTGGGAAGGGGGATTCATTAAATCCTGAATTACTGTATTTCTTTTAAGCTTGTGGTTAGGGAGACATTCCCTCCAGGGCAGGGCTAGGGACTCAGCTTCCCATGCCATTGTCCCTAGTGCCTGCGATGAGGCAGATGGACAGGGAAGGTGCTCTGGGCAATGTGCTGAAGCCTAATGTGGCCTTGCTACCCATGCAGGGGAGAGTGGGTATGTACCTTGTGCCGCAGCCTGACACAGCCTGAGATGGAGTACGACTGTGAAAATGCCCGCTACAGTCAGCCTGATGTGCGGGTGCCTCCTGGCCTGAGTGTATGGGACCAGAAGGTATGGAGGGGTCTCTAGAAACAAGGTTTTCTGTCTGGGGAACTCCATGTATCCAGAAGGGTGAGAGGCATTTCCGGTGGCTATCTTCTGGGCTGTGCCTAATGATTTGTCCTTTGGGAGTGGTGATTTGGTGCAATTCTCTGGTTTGGGACCCTACACTGTGCCTTACTGTAGTGGGTGATACCCTGTGGCGCAGGGTCAGGCAATTATCACTTGTGTTTAAACCATATTTAGCTGTTATTGAGGGACAGGGTGTGGTTGGAGGAACAGTGACACTGTTGCCAATTTTGGTTTTTGCAGAAGTGTGAGAAACTGGTACTGTCCTTGTGCTGCAATAGCCTCAGCCTGCCCTTCCATGAACCTGTCAGTCCCCTGGTAAGGAAAACCTCCCTTTTTCTGCCTGCAACTGTCCTAACTGAGAGCCTGGGCCAGTGATGGTGACGTTTTAGAGCTTTCAATGACACAAACAACCTACTGTGACATGCTTGCCATAGGTTTACCATCAATGGGCTGGGCCACAGGGCAAGATCATAGTGAGCCCAGGGTGGGCTCAAGGAACAGCCCTGGAAGTAGTGAGAGTATTAACTTGGGGATGATCCAAGGGACCTCTCTAGCCTCCTCTTTCACTCTACCACAACTGCTCTTGCACCAAACCTGACCTGTCAAATGACACATCCTTCTTTTCTCTTCTCTTTGTTGTCCTCCATATTTTTACTTTTGCTCTTCCTCACCATTCTCTTTCTTCTATTTCTTCACTTATATTCCAACAACTTCTGTCTTTCCATTTTTCTTATTTACACCTACACATGTTTTTCCCTTCCTCTTTTATCTCCGTTCCTTTTCTCTTCTCCCAAGGCCCGGCATTATTACCAGATTATCAAGAGGCCCATGGACCTGTCAATCATCCGAAGGAAGCTGCAAAAGAAGGACCCTGCTCACTATACCACCCCTGAGGAGGTGGTGTCAGATGTGCGCCTCATGTTCTGGAACTGTGCTAAATTCAATTATGTATGTCTATTTCCCAGTGACCCTAAAACTATCATAACTAGAGAGGAGAGAGGGTGAAGGTGGGGAGTCAGGTTTAGGCCTGGGATACCAGGAGGATTTGGGAACAGAATCCTAGTGCCCACTGTGGTGAATATTTAATTGACAAACTCTCTCCCACACTCAGACCTCAGCAGACTCTTGGAAAGGTAGGGGGACACTCATGACTACATGTGGGTATTTATCTAAGTCACTTCTACTTTAAGAGCTGCTACCAAACATGCTCAGAGGTCTAGGAGAAGATGCCAAGTTCTAGACCTCTCAGGATGAGATCCCAAGACAGCCCAGCCAGGCTTTGTGGTTACTGTATAGCTTTTGAGGGATGGGCCTAGAAAAGAGGGATTCACAGAAACAGGACAGACACACAGTGTTTTCCTCCCCTTCAGCCTGACTCAGAGGTTGCAGAGGCTGGCCGTTGCCTGGAGGTGTTCTTTGAAGGCTGGTTGAAGGAGATCTACCCAGAGAAACTTTTTGCCCAGCCAAGGCTGGAGGACTCAGACTCTGAGGAGGTGTCCAATGAGAGTGGATGTTCCACCCCTCAGGGCTTCCCATGGCCCCCCTACATGCAGGAAGGCATCCAGCCCAAGAGGCGGCGAAGACACATGGTAAAGAATTGCTACAAGCTGGCAGACATGAGGGTGGTGATTGGGTGGCTTGGAATTCAGCGAGGTGCCTGTAACCTGTCCAGGATCATCCAGCAAATTAGCAGTAGAGGTAGGGTGCGGAACCAGCTGTCATAGGTCCCATTTGGAGCTAGTTACATGACCCTGTGATTGTTATACTCATTGGAAGAGATATTCCTGATTTTAGTGCCTGATCTCTATCTGAGTTTGAGGAAGAAAAGATATTTTTAGCCTCTTGATGTAGGGAAGGAAGGAGAAGTATTGCTTGCAGTAGAGAAAACTCCCATGGTCCTATCTGTATAGACCTGGGACATTGATTCATACTATTAAATCACACTGAAATGTATTGCCTGCTTATTATGTGCTAAAATCTGACCAACCATTCCCAATTATTTATGATACTTAGCATACAATGTGTAGTAGCTTCAGTGAGTTTTGCAGTTGGGTTTCTGAGGTAGAATTAAACGCTTTGACTTTGGAAAACCCCGGTCTCCACACTTGCCTTTTCATATGAATAAATGCTTACTTTGGCCTGTTCTAATTTGAAATATGTGTCTATTTTTTCTTTTAGGAAAATGAAAAAGCAAAGAGAATGTCTTTCCGCTTGACCAACAGCATCTCACAGGTGTGAGAGCTGGAAGGAGACTGAGCGCTCGGGTGGCTGGTGTCCTGTCCTGTTGACCATTCCTCCCCATCCTTCAAATTATTCTCTTCAGAATGTGGATGTGAGATGAGTCTTGTTGAGCTGTGTAGTGCTCATTCTTGTCATTTACATTTACAACATTCATTTGGGAGCCACAGTGCATCCACTGCAGAGAAGATTTCAGTAATAAACAAGAAAGAGGGAGGTTTTCCTTATTGCCAGAGAAATCATATTGTAGGACCATGCCTGGTTGGGCTCTCCTAACTTTCTTGGTGAATTCCACTGCTGAAGAAAGCAGACCTTTCTCAGCTTTTATGGGCCAGGGCTCAGGAGCAGTGTATGAATCCGAACTCCTCCTGGCTCAGAAGTGGGTGAAAGATGGAGTGAGGTTTGGACATGTGATAGTCCTGTGATCCCTGGCCCAGCACAGCCAAAGACTGTCGCCGTTTACCATTGCTTGTCCTGTTGGGACAGAGTGCCTGCCTGGCAGAATAATGGAGGCTTCTAGAGGCCATAGGTCTCTGTTGGTGCCTATTTGGTTCTAACGGTTTCCAGGGTATTTGTTTCTCATATTTCCTTTCCTGAAGTTGGCTTGGATGACTGCTGTGCGAGTCCTCTGGGTGGTATGACATTCTTTCCTGAGCTGGGTGGCTGTACAAAGCGCACTTACATCTTGAGGCTCAGATTTCACTTGCATTAAGATGTCAAGTTCAGAGTCTGCTTCTGTGCCACTTACTTTGGGCTAATAGCACTTTTTTGGTGTCAAAAACCTGTCTTCCTAGAAGTGATCATTGTGTTTCTCATTCCAATCCAGGCATCTAAATCCTGAGTTCTTCTTGGGAAAACTGTGAAGCAGCTGATGTCTGCTTTAGGTGCAGAGTTCTCTGGGCATGAGTGACCCAGAATCAGCTCACTCTGCTGGGGCCTTCCCTGCTTAGCGATTCTAGTTATTCACCTCTCCTAGTTCACAGAGCCAAAGATCAGAAGTGAGTCCTCTGACTTGCCTGTCTCCAGGCTGTTCAGAGCCCAGAAAAAGCCAACACTCTACTGGCATCCTTTTATGTTTGAGGTTGGAGAAGGTCATAGGGACCAGCAGTAGTGTAGACATTCCTGGGAGAAGTGCTGTCCTGGGTGGAGAAAGAGAAGGTCAAGAGATAAGAAGCTAGTGTCCCTTGATGAGAGGCAATTTCAGGACTTGAATTCTCTTAGAATAAAGGAAGAGACCTTTTGGAATTAATGGGAACAGAGGCTCAAGGCATGATCCCTGTAGGGTATTTGTAAGGAATTGGCATAGACAGAAAATGGGGGACAGGTTTCCTCCCAAGCAAGGGCGGGGTTGAGAAGAGACGTATTGTTGCCATTGTTGAGGGAGCTATGAGCCTGTCTCTGGGCCAGGCATTTCATTGGCCTGGCCCAGAGACAGCTTTTCCTGGCTCTGTCATACGATGGCTAATTTCAGGGAAGTCTCAGGTCATTTCTTTGATTTTACTGAAAGATGCAGGTTAAGGAAGTTGTTGTTTATATAAGGACTTTGTAAATGAGCATTAAAAAAATCAGAAAACATTTGAGAGTTCATGGTATTACTTATTTCCTTCCCACCCAGGTTGAGAGATCTGCACTTCACAGAAATCTTGGCACTGACTTACCATTCTTTTAGCAGCAATTGCTAAGCTTTCCTAATTAGATAGATTACATAATCTTACTTTCTAGTTTGGAGTAACCAAATCTTCACTGTAGTCTTCAGGCAGTCTCTGGACTCAGGCCTTAATCTTAGGGGCTCACCTGACTTTCTGGTTTGGGTTCTGGCCATTTCCTTTTCAGTTGTTGAATTTTGTCTCTAGCTGGCTTCTTAAGACTGCTTCTGTACTTACCTCATTAATTCCTGTCCTTGCCTGTCTTTCCTTTATGTGATCCATGTTTCCATCACCCCTGAGTGAGCACCATGGTATTGAGCATTGGACAGATGATTCCACAGAATCAGCTGGAGACCATAAATGTGGAGTAGAAATGCCTGGTTAAAAGTTTGACTTTGCTTCTCCTAGTAAGGCTCCCCGTTTGGATGTGGCCTTTTAAACTCAAGGATCAGCTGGTGGGTTGTGGGATGTTAGTAATATGGCAGAGTCCCACATTCCCTTCTGATCAGAGACTTCGTGCTGAGATGCTCCCTTTAAGCACCTGTGCAAGGAGAGATGGGAAGCAAGGATACACTTGAAGGGGACCCTGGCCCATCAAACCTTTCCATGGCATTGCATTTTCCCTGGGTTTCCGTAAATTGGCACCATTTTTTTTAGTCGTGGTTTTGTTTTATTTTGTTTTTGCATGCAGAAGATATAACAAGACATTTTATAAATTAAAAAAAAAACCCCTGCTTGCCAATTAACTGCTTTCAGTGGTTCTTTTCTGGCATTTATAGTGATCTGGCATTGACTTGTTCCTATAGTGGTGGCCCTATTTTGAAGTCAGTTAACTCTTTTGCCTTTGACAGTGTTGTGCCATGGAAATACAGTGAGTCCTGGGTTCTCATGGTGTAGCATGCTGAGTCTTAGAAGAGAAGTAGATTCTTTTATGATTAGAAGTGGGATAATAAAGTGGTTTTGTTGATGCAAAGGAGATTTTAGTGCAAAAATCAGTGCAGATTGAACTTGTGAAACATTCTTCCAGATTGTCAGTTGGTTGACCCTTCCTGACTCCCAGGGATCCCTAACTGCACACCCTGACTGCCTCAGTATCCCCTTGCTGAGTGGCAGCCACCAGGCCCTCCTTAGGCTGTACTTCATATCAGGCCTACCATCAGTCCAGTAGGCTCTTGCTTCCTGTACCCATTTCTGGTGCAGGTCTTTCCCTGGCTCCTAATACCGAGGCCACTCCTTGTTTGTTCCTGGGCTTTTCTTTGCTTCCTGTCTCACACCATGGGATCACCCCACTGCAGTCCTGAGCTGAGCGTGTGATCCGGGCACCAACGGCCACCTGCTGTGCTACCTTTTCTGTTCTCACACTCACTACTGCCAAAATTACCTGTTCCTTTATTCCATTTCTATGACCTCATCTCTCTCTCTTCTAAACTCTTGGTCTTCTCCTGAGCTTCTTCCTCTTTCCAGCCTGAACTCAGGGTCCATCACCAGATGTTCTTATCAGCAGCCTGAACTTTTTCCCTTTTGCTTTTGCTTAAACTATTAGCCCCTTTTCATTCTCTGTATTGGCCTATTTTCTACTCCCTCTTCCTTGCTGCTAAGGAAGACATATTCATAGTTGACAGGCTCAGTATTGATCGAAAATTCTTTAACTTGTTGTTGCTCTTCTTTCTCATCCACGCTGTTCATCTTTGTTCTCAGCAAATGTCTGATCTCATTGTTCACTTCACAGAAGAGAGCTCCTAAAGCAAGACCTTCCTTGCCCCCTCCTGTTGACCAGTGTCTGTGTCTTCCTCATCTCCATCTCCCTTACTCACAGTTAGTTTTCTATTTCTTAAATCCTGCTATTTGCCCACCAAAGCTTTGCTCCCTCGCCTCTGCCTCTGCCCCCACTTCCTGGGAGCTTCAGCACCCTCTCTCCATTAGTAACCCTTACATAGTCTGCAAATAACCAAAGTTCTTCCAAGATTAAAATATTTTAGAATCTATTGTCCCTTACAGGTTTTCTGTGTCAGCCAAGTTTAACTTAAAAATAGTCTTTTTTGTTGTGCTACAATTGTGCATAAAAGTACCAGTGACCACCCAGTTGCCAAATCAAATGAATATTTTTTTGTCCTCAACTGCCTTGAACTCTCCACAGCATTTCACCTCAATCACCACTCCCTCCATGAAACACCCTTTTTACTTGCTTTCAGGATATCACAAGTCTCTGGACTGTCCTCATTCCTCCAACACCAACAGGTTTAGCTCTTTTCAAAACCTAGACAGGGGACATGTTTGTGGCCGTCTGCAGTTTCTACTCTGAGAATTGGATAAGCAGAAAGAATCACAGCTGCTTTTGATTCCTACCCTCTGTGTCTGTTTTCTTTGAGTCCCTTTCTTTTCCTGGACTCAGTTCTTCTCATGCCAAGTATGTTTATGAGTTCCTTCTGGCAGGACAGTCCCTGTGAGTCCTCCTCCCTTTTTCATCCTGTACAGCACACACTACAGTGTAGCCATCTGCTTAGCCATTTCCACCAGCTTAAGAGGGATAGGTAGGCTTTTATAGTATCCAAACCACAGTCTGTCTAAACTAGATTACTAGTCTGGTAGGCAGCTCATCACTGTGATCTCACACCAGTTAGTACATGTATAGTCGAGACCCAGGTCTGTGGTAAAACATGGTTTTGTGTGTGGTTCAGTGCTTCAACCAGAAAGAGAATCCTGATAAGGATACTTACCACTGATAACAAGTGACTGGGGAGTGCGGCCATTCATTACTTGCCTGGGCATAGCTGGGGTCGTAACTCCATTTTGCTGGGTCTTTCCAGCTTATGCAGATCACCACCACCTGCTTGCTCCAGATGTTCCTGGAGCCAGCAGCAGATGTTGGTTACTCAGAGGTAAGGAGGTACAGTGCAAATATATTTGATTTGAGAGTCTGAACACCTTGATTTTGGCTTTGCAAATTATGGGCTATGTGACTTTGGGCTTGGTTTCCTTGTCTAAAGTTGGGGTAGGGGTGTTGAAATACTGATCTCTTGGAGACTCCCTAGCTCTAAAGATCGTAACTAGTTCTCTGTGGCTCAGGCCACACAGGGACTGTAGAACTCTAGGTGTGGGACACAGATAGGGGAGTCCTGATCAGAGCAGGAAAGGGATTCACAGGCCAAATGGAGCTGCGTTGAGGAAAGTTCTCACCAGTTGGTGCTGTTGAACCATATGCCAATCCTCAAGACATACCCTTCCTGGATATCTAGGATGAGTTCCTCATAGACCATTTCCAGGTGTGGCCATTGGATCCAAAGTGGCTGAGGGATATGAGGGAGGAGTATTGTAAGGGGAGGTATAACTGATTTTAAAAGGACCTACACATTTAAAAATAAATAAAAAATAGTACATTTCTTTACCAGCAATTGTGTCCTAGAGTGTTTTTCGGTGAAGATCACTGAACCTACCACATGCTGTTTTTTATTCTGGGTTTCAACATAATTAAGGACACAGGGTAGGTGAGACTTTCCCTCTAGGAAAGAATGCAGCTCTCTTTATTATTGTACGAGTATAAGCTCTTCTTCAAAATGCAAGCAGCAAGTCTGAGGTGGAATTGGGAAAAGTATCATCTGAACCCCTTCCACTTTGAGATGCTAAACACCTGGAGAAGGGCTTTTGTCCCAAGTTTCCCATTCCTAGCTCTCCTTTTGACTCATTCTGTGCTAGTGGTTTCTAGCAATTTTTGTGAGACAGTTCATAAGGAATATAAATAATATGTGTTATTCACTTGGGCAGCATAGAGTCTGAACCCCTTTACTATTTTTGTTGATCTCCTCACCTCAGAAGTCTTGGGTAGTACCAATTATTCCTCACTTTAGAAGCTAAATAGTGATTGCCCAGTGTCCCTTGAAGCTAGGGTACAAGTTTAGTGGCAGTGATTAAAAGAAAGAAAAGAAAGAAGAAGGAAAGCACAGAGGTTTCTCTCTTGTGACAGATTGGTTGTGAGGAGGCGGGGTTTCCATGGCAGCTGTAGCAGCAGTATGAGGTAAAGTACCCGGTACCTGATGGCAAGGACAGTTTCTTCAGCAGATAGGTTGTGCTTGTGATTTCAGGGATTTTTCCTGGCTGTATACCTCTGAGCTTAATTCTCTACCCCTCCTAACAACTCTGAGCTATTTAAAGAATCTTTTAATAAATTCATTTTCTGCTGAGTGCTTAGTTAGAATGAATGTCTGTTACTTGCAGCTGAACACCCTAATGCAGTAAGTTTGAGAATTTAATAAGAGTCATAGTCCCCTCTCCTGAGCGCCAGACTCACACATCCTGAGGTCTACTAGATGCCTCCTCTTGGATGTCTCAGTGTCATCCGATAGAGTAGCCGCCCCCAGTTCCCCGTTGTTAAGCCTTCCTCTTGCATTCCCCATCTCCGCAGCCAGGCACAGTGGAAGGAAATCAGGGCATATGGTATCAGAGAAGCCAAGGAAATTTGTGCTTCAAGGATGAATGAGTATAATCTACTGCTTCAAATGAAACCCAGAAGTCTTCTCTGAGACCCCTAACCATAGACAGCTCCCTTCCCCCTGTCTGCATAACTGTGCTGTATTTTGTCCTTGACTAATTTCGTTAGTGCTAGTTGTTAGTTAGGTCTTTCAGAATAGAGAGCTTCTCTGCTCCCCATGCCTCAGGTTCCACGGCAAGCTGCTAGCTGGATCCACTCTGGAAAGAAAGCCCTGCCCTCCCAGGTTGGTCTGCAGAATGAGCTCCTCTTCCTTTATAGCTACCCTGTGGATTGTTTTATCCCCCCAGCAGTACAGGCGGAGTATCTGGGAAACGAGAGCTTTTCAGGGGCCTGTCAAAGTGAGTCCTGAAACACATTAAAAATGGCAAACCATACACAATGAAACTTCTAATTAAATGTCTCCAGGCAATAGCACTGTTAAACCTTTAATTTTTTTGGGGTTCTGAACCATGGAGCATGGTTTTGAACTCATGATCCCAGGCTGGCGCTTTTATGCTGCTGAGCTAACTCCCCAACCTAAACCATTAATTCTTTTTTTATTTTTTAAAATTTCATTTTAAAGAGAATAAACCAAACCAAAACAAAACATAACAAAATAGAGCAGAGTAAAACAATGAAAATAACACAGGATTTCAGAAAAAGACAGTAGGAAATCAACAGCGGCTACCATAATGTCTCTTGTTTTCTTAAAAATAGTTGTCCATACCTTCACACACAATAAGTTAATACACATCAAAATAGTGTAAAAGCAATCCAAACACAAGAATGAGAGCCTTAAGGACTTTCAAGACCAAACACTAGGAAATCAATAATCGCTACCATGATGTTTCTTGTTTTCTTCAAAATAACTGTCCATACCTTCATACATATTGGAATCAAATAATTGAAAACAGATCTAAAGCCAGTCAAAACCAAGAATAAAAACATTATTGGCTTTGGAATCAAAATGATAGGAAATTATCAATGGCTACCATGGTGCCTCATTTTCTTCAGTGTAGTTGTTCATACTATCACACATGCTAGAATTCTTGTAAACTCTTTAGGTGAAGTTCTAGGCATATAAAACCTAGGCATATATATACATGTATATCTATCCTTTCCATATTAGAGGAAAAAACAAAACAAATAACGTCTATATCTAAGAGCCTCAAATGATAACAATGTAGGCTTTTAAAACAATGTTTGTTGTTTTGCATAGTTATCTTTATAAGTCTTATTTGAATTATCAAATATAGTCATGAAAAATTGATCTAATCCTACAGATGTTATCTGTTTTGTTCCAAGAACTAATAGAATTAGTACTACAATCATCTTAATAATCTTACGTTTATATATATGAATATCTTATTTTATTTCTCTTCCTGCTCTTCTCTTTTTCCCTGAGTTATTTTTTCCTCTTTGAGCAGTTTCTTACCTTTCACAATATTATTGAAGATTTTGTATATTTACTTTTTCAGATTCTTACACTTAAGAATCTGAAAGAGTAAATACAGTATTTACACATGTGAGTTTGATTTATTTCACTTACAAGTATGGTCTCAAGTTGCATCCATTTACTTATAAAAGCCTCAATGTGGTCTTTCTTTATAGCTGAATAGTATTCCATTGTATAAAAGTACCACATCTTTTTTATCCATTCCTCAATTGATGGGCATTTGGGTTGTTCCCAGGAGTTAGCTATTTCAAATCGGGCTACTAGAAACATGGGTGCACATATATCACTGTGATACAATGTTTTTAATTTTTCTGGGAAAATACTCCAAAAGGGGATAGATGAATCTAATGGGACTCCTAATCCTCATTTTTTAAGGAATCTCCACACTGATTTCCACAGTGGCTGCACCAGCCTACTCTCCCACCAACAGTGCAGAAGTGTTTCTTTTCCCCCACAGCCTCTCCAGCATTTGTTATGGTGGTTTCCTTGACCCTGGCCATTCTTTCTGGAGTGAGATGGAATCTGTGTGTAAATCATTAATTCTTAAGAAACCCAATGTAAATTAAATGAATTGCTCTTTACCCAAATAATTTAAAAAGTAAAGTTATAAAATATTTCAAAAATTTTCAATAAAACCCATAATTATTGCAGAATATAGGTACATTTTCATCTTTGATATGTGCTGTATGACTTCCTGGAATAAGAAGTCCTGGTCTATAGAAGAATTTCAGGTCTGTGGCCCTGGAGCTTTGCAGAGGGGAGGATCTTGTCCTATAGACGTAATTCTTGAAGGCCTTGTGTATAGGATATGGTTTGGGAAATGAAATAATGTCACCAATCTCTAGAAGCTGCTGATGGTTGCTAGTACCCGTTATTTTCTTCGTTATAGCAAAAGCCCCTTCCTCCACTTTCTCCAACCTCCTCTATAATTGGATGCTGTCTTTTAAATAAGTTCTAGCTGGCTGATTATGGGAAGCAGTGCTGTGTACATTTGGACATGTTTTATGTGAAATTTTATGTCCTCCAGGTCCTCTTTTTACCCCTTCCTCAAGACAGGACACACTAATCATACTACTTCAATCCCAAGACTTCTGCATTAAGTCATAACCCTGAGAATAGTCATCTCAAACTGATAACGTCTTCTGTTCTTGGCAGAAATGAATGCAGATCTTCTCAGGAGGAAAATAGCACGATGCTCAGGTTTCTCACCCATTAATTTCAACCAAATGACTGACATGAAAAATGAAATAAGCCACTATGACTGAATGTTAGAAGCAATAATGGGCCACAGATGACAGTCTTGATAAAGAGTGGGGAATAGAAAGGGATTAAGAGTTGCAGAGGCTGGGTGATATCTTTTAACATACATTTAGACAGGTGGAGAATCAAAGAGGGAAACATTTGAAGAGATAATGGCTAAGAACTGTTTAGAAGTGATCAGTGAGAGGAATTCATAGTTGTGCCACAAATTATACTAACTGGGAAAAATAGACACTGAAATATATTGTAGAGCAAGTGCCAAACAGCAAAGGCAAAGATCCTAAAAATAATAGAGGGGCAGATAGAAATGTTTCCTTTTAATATTTCTAGTGCTGTTACACTTCTAAGACCATGGGAGGATTGGACTACCTTATACTCTTTATTTTAGGTGTGTTTATAAAACTTGGCCACTGAAATGTGAGTAAAAGTGATATAGGTCATCTTTAGGTCATCTTTAACATTTTTAGAGCTGGTGCTTGATTTTCTGATCTTCATTTTCTCTTTTTCCCTACTGGGGTGCTTCTCCGAGCATGTGTTGATAAGATGTTTAAAACTGGTATAGTGTGGTAGGCTGTGCTGAGATATGGAGAGATGTGCTTTGGACAACTGCCCTTATTTACAGGAGATTTTTGCACTAAGGAATACATTTGTAATGTAAAGCCAGTGAAAGTTGTAGGTTACTGATCACTGCAACACAAACTAGCTTATATTACAAAGAAACTTGATTTTCTTTGGGAAAAAAATCAATAACAAAGCCTTAATATTCAAGGGATGGGTTAGGTGTGTGGCAAAGAAGTTGATATTGGTGATTTGAAAGATGGTGATTCATTAATGCAGTGGAAAAAATATTTGGTAAAACTATAATCTAATAACTTGGGAGGCAAACCATATACATAATGAACTTCAGTAGTGAAGAATAGTAAAATAACATTGGTAAATATGTTGGTTGACATTGTGTTTATTACCTTGCTTTTAAGCAGGAGTGAAAGAAAATAGGGAGCATCCAAAATACTCAGAAAATTGGGAGTTTTCAGGGGAGATTTCTTTTCACCCTGAAGATTGAAAGATAAATTGAGAAAGCCTTTAAAATTAAAATTCAGACTTGAGACAAGGATCAAATTAAAAGTATGGGTGTAATATTCATTGTTAAAATCTTGAATGTATCAAAGTACCTCAGGAGAAATGTAAAATTAAGAGAATTAAGAGTACAG